TTTGTGTTTTTGTAGATTTTATTTATTTGACAGAGAGAGACACAGCGAGAGAGGGAACACAAGCAGGGGGTGTGGGAGAGGGAGAAGCAGGCTTCCTGCCGAGCAGGGAGCCCGATGCGGGGCTCGATCCCAGGACTCTGGGATCATGACCTGAGCCAAAGGCAGATGCTTAATGACTGAGCACCCAGGCGCCCCATGCTTTTTGTTTTTGATGGTGGTTTGGTTCTTCTCAAAGCAAAACCCTCAGAAACTACCTCATGTCACCAGTAGATCTCCCTAAGCACACATTTTGTCACTGGTCAGTATGGGCACTCAGGACACCTGTGTAGGTACCTAGCCAAGGCCACATGGCTGGTGTGGAAATGGCTTCCTAGCTGATACCTTCTCTGCCCAGGTACCTTCAGGGGGGCCTAGCCTCTGCTTTGTAGGAAAAGCAGCCAATATTTTCCTTTGGCTAGCTTTCCTAACCACCTTGTTTTACCTAGATTCAAATTCCACTCAAAAAGTTAAGACAAAATAAAGTCAGCAACAGTTTTCTGATACTGCATTATAGGAGATATGGCCAAATCCTGTCAGCTCATGAGAAGAAAAACTTTAAAAATGTACTTAAAAGGTTTGTGTGTCCAAGTCTGGAACAAAAAAAAACTGTCCCTGGGAGAAAAAATTCTAAAAGCTAGGTGGTTGCTTGGTGGTTTTTTAAAGAAATACTTTATTTCACTATTTGAAAGGAAAACAAAAGTGGCACATAGTTGTGGGATTAATGATAGTAAAACCCATTGTAATTAACATCCACAGTTTGTATTTCTTAGTTGCTTCCAAAGTCAAGTCTGTGCTTTTCAAGTCTTCCCCCCCACCCCCCGCAATAGAGTAACATCCCCCAAGCCCCCACTCCCCCTACCCCCCACCAATGGCATAGGAGGGTGAAGAGTAGAGACATGGCCCAGTGTGGTCTGTGACTCCCAGAGGTGCTCCAAGTTCACTTCTGGGTTTCCCATCATTTCCATCACACACCCTGGGGAACATGTCTGGTTGTTGCTGAGGGGCAGGACCACAACCTGGGTGGGAATGAGATAGTGGTTGACTAGAGGGTAGAGGCACAGCTTCTAATGCTCAGAATGACACTGCTGATGTCCTCAGAACTCTGTTTTTAAGACCCAGAGGGTTCCACTGTCGTCACTGAGTTTGTGCCGGGAATTACTGATTAATAGTCTCTGATAGAAAAAAAAGTAACGTGGAATTATTTTGATTCATTTCAGGCCGAGGGGGCCCAGGACCTTCCCAGAGAGTGCCAAAATCCGGGCGCTCCAGCTCCTTGGATGGAGATCACCATGACGGCTACCACAGAGATGAACCTTTTGGAGGCCCTCCAGGCAGCGGTACTCCTTCCAGAGGGGGCCGGAGTGGCAGTAACTGGGGGAGAGGGAGTAACATGAACTCTGGCCCGCCAAGGCGAGGAGCTTCAAGGGGTGGTGGAAGGGGTCGGTAGAAGCTGATTCCCCTGAGGCCTCTTTGGACAGTATTTAAGAACTTCTTTTGGACTTACGAAGACAAACAAAAGGAAGCCTGCACCATGTAGCCCTGAACTTTTTCTGGGGCAGCTGAATCCCAGGAGCCCCTAATGAGGTCTTCAAGATGAAGAGACTGCTGCTGGCTACCCAGAGTAGCTGGCCTTGTTCTGTCTTGTCCACCCTCACTGCCCTGCCCTAACTCCCATTGTTTGTGAAGATAAAAGCTGGAATCTTTTTTTTTTTTAAGTGTCACGAGACATGGAGCACCTCCACAAATTTAAGTTCATGTCCAATTGGAAATTTGTTTCTATATGTACAGTTTGTCAGAGAAAAAACATTAAGTTGTTTTTGTATGAATACAGAATGTGATTTATGCAAGAATTGACAGAAAACTAGTTGTGAAATGCTTGCCTTAAGGAAACCCTGTTTCCACTGCATCCAGTCAGCTGAGGGGGTACAATTATTGCTTCTGTTTGTGAGCACACTTGATGGGTACCTCTGAGCCATCTAAGTTAATTTCATCCATGAACTTTGTCTTAAATTCTCATCTACCCATTCTGTCACACTTATTTTTGTAATAGAGTGAGACACTTTGAAACTATAACACAGTTTGAAAGTAGATTCAAAGCCTTAGTTACCACCTGCTGTGGCAGGTGGAAAATTATACTCTGAAGAAAAACATCTTCTGGCTGTCCAAGTAGGGGTTCTCCCTTGGGTGCATCTCCTGGTAATCATGCCTTAAACTTGAATTCCCTTGTTTCTGATGAGAGGAACCAGACATAAACCAGAAATTAACTACATGCAGCACCCTTCTGATTAAATCATGTCACAATTTAAGTTGAGAAGGAATGGACCAAATATCTCCTAAAACAATTCTGCAAAACCTTCTCCTATACCAGTGTTTAAGGCCGTGGATAGTTCTAGTTTAAAACCAGGAAGTTCCAACAAATTCCTTTATAGTTTTAAATAAATGTAACATTTGGCCCAGTTTGGAAGCCAAAGTTCCCTGTATTTTCTCTACTGACCCTTATTTTGTTTTTGTAAGAGAACTTTTATTATTCAAAGGATATTTCTGTGGCTACCCTAGTATCTTTGGCACTGGAGACAGGTTCACCTGGCAAATGTAGTGGTGTTGGAAGTCTCGCAGTTGCTTAAGACAAGGGATGCTGGCATAGTTGCATAGCATATAAAAACCTCTTAATTAGTTCTCAGTGTAAAACACTGTAAAAGCAAAGTTATTTCTGCAGAGTGAGAAGATGTCAGCCACACACACGGCTTTTTAGGGTGTTAAAACCTACAGACTATAAGTGAATCATTTTTATCAGCATGTCAGTATAAACGCATGATTAGGAGGCTCAAGAATGCTTCAAGTTTGCAGAATATTCTTTCTTTCTTTGCCCTCCACTGGCACAGCTTAAAAAGAAGTTGTAATCAAATTCTGATTAAGGTAAAATGGGACCGAACCCATATGGAGATTAGACTTTTTTTCTAAGATAGATGTGGTAAGAAATTTATCATCTTAACATTTTAGGCCTCAACTTTAAAAACACAGTATCTCAGCAAGCAGATAACCAGATCATATTTTGAGAAAGAATTCCTTTAGAAAAAACCTGAACTCTCTACACTGTAATTTATTAAATACTTAGAATATTTTAAAACATCACTACCAAAATACATACAAGGTATTGTGCTTTGAATTTTACAAATGGCTAGATTTTCAGTGTTTGAATTTTTGAGAAAATGTTGGGAAAACGATTTAAAAAAAATATAACAGCATCAACATAAAAATGTACTAAACACTATAAAATACTCAGTTGTGCAAATTCTAGAGAAATTGAGAACTAGAACAGATATTTAACTGTGGGACAAAAGGAGCAGTCAATGGCCCAAGTTTCTCCAGTTACAAAAATAAGTCACTCCCTAAATACAGTACATTTGCTTTTACTACAAATACCCTCTTGGTTGTTCCTCTTGAGGTAGGTAATCCTGTTTACTGATAAGGGAACAAGGCAGTAATTCTTAGAGAATACTGGGGTGGGGGGCCTCATGAAGTTGGGGCAGGGCTTAGGACACTGATCAGGATCTAGGAATATAAATAAGTGAGGTTCAACAAAGAGGCAATGCTCTATTGCTGCCTGACACACCTGTTTAGGCAACAGTGGAATCCAGCCCCAGAAAAGAATTATTTTCAAATTGTGCAATTAGGTGTACAGAAAAGTGGTTCTCAACCTTAGCCGAACATGGAATCATCCAGAAAGCTCTAAAATAATAATGACGTCTGGGTCCGCCCTCCACCGCTCCAGAGATTCTGACTGAATCCATCTGAGGTTTTGCTCTTCAAGTAATTCCGATGTGAACTGAGAACCACTGACATAGAATTTGAAAATTCTAAATACATCTACTTTCTAGTTAATATAGCTACTGACAAAATAAGTAGTTTTTTGGACTCATCAGAATATCCAGTCCAAACTTTCTGGCAATACATTAGCATATACAATTAGGTCAGAGACAAGAGTAAATGCTGAACCTAAAAGGAAACTTGACAGATATGAAAAGAATCTTACACTGCATTAGAATCAGCCTACAAAATGTAAATTATACTTTAAGAAGCAGGTAACGGCCTTGTAGAAATCCATGGTTTCCGTCAAATACAGAACTTTGGATGTAGAATTCTCTCGTCCAGCAGGAGTCCCCAGACCAGCCAGTTCTGCCCAGGAACCTCTCACAGCACTGAAATGTCCTGCTTCTTGGGGCAGACATTTCCCTTTTTGGTCCTTTGCTTTTCTGGTCTAATACAGAACCAATCTTCCTTTAATTTTGTAAGGCACCATATTTACAATTTCACTAAAAAAAGGAAAAGCCGAGGTAAACCGTCTTAACTAAAGTACTTACATAAAACGCGGTGGCTAAATTTAGTGTTTAATTTGATACCCTTAAGAATCACTCATTGAATGAGGAAGAAATTTCTAAAAGCCAAAGAAAACAAAAGCGTATTGTAGCTACGCTACTTCAATCTACCACTGGATTTTTTTAAACGACAAAAGGTAAAGTAAGTCTGACGAACGTCACAAGAGCAGCTAATTAAAACTGAGGAACCATTCTCTTTTTTTACTGTGCTCAATCTAAAACCACGGTTAACGCAAAAGCAATTTACCATTAAGTTTTTCACAGCGCATCACCAAGTCAACGACAACATCTCGTGTCATAGAACATTATACGTGGCGGAAAAACGCTGAAACCGCAGAGCTTCCGAACCGGCTCGAGTCTCAGTTTTAGAACGGCCGCTCAAAGACGATGACGGGTTCGCTGGCACAATAACGCAGCAGCCTTTACCCAGCGCGATCGGGAAACCGGCGGGTGCAGTCCTCGGCTCGGTCCGCGATACGCCCGGGGCTGGCTCCCGGTGGTCTCCAGACGGCGCATTCCGGGGGCCGGGCTCCGCGTCGTCTCTGGACAGCGCGTCCTGGTTTGAAGGCGCGGGCCCTGGGCTTCTCACACTGGCAGCGCCTTAGCAAGGCCGGCGCTCGGGCCCAGCCGTCCGAGCGCTACACGCAGCGCAGTACCTGCGCCCCAGGGCAGAAGCCCGAACAGCACGGTCAGCAGCGCGGCCACCTGCACGAAGGCACCCAGCGCCGTGAGCAACGTACTGCGCAGCCCGAGCGCCGCGTACAGCGTGGCGCCCAGCGCGGCCACGTAGAGCAGCGCGGGCCGCGACGGCGCCTCCTCGCCGCGCAGCAGGCGCCCGCACGCCGCGCCGCCCCGCAGGAGCGTCCCGCCCGCTAGCGCCAGCGCCGAGCCCAACGACCAGAGCAGTGCGAACTTCCGGGCGCGCAGCAGCAGCACGGGCGCGTAAAGCGCGGCCAGGCTGAAGCAGAGCGCGGCCAGCAGCAGGCACACGCCGCTTGCCGCCAGCCGCTGCGCGCGCGTCACACTAGGCAAGCACGCTGGGCCTGTCCCCACCGTTGGCTCCGCAGGGCTCCGCGCCCAAGTCCAGCGCAGGCCCGCGCGGCCCAGCCACGCCCCCGCCGCGGGCTCTTCCGTCTTTTCCGCAGCGAGCAGCGGCTCCGCGGCCGCCAGCCCACCGGCTTTACCCTGCGCCAGGTATTCCTGCAGCTGGCGGTGGAGGTCAGCCATGTTGGCCGGATCGGCCGCGGGGGGATGGAAGGGCTGCTGCCCACTTCCGGTTTTTCTCAGTCGCTGGCGGAAGCGGCTCGGCCCTCGGCGGCTGTTGGTCGGCCGTGGCGGGAGGGGCGGGGCCTGCGGCCCGTGCGGAAAGGGCGGGGCCACTTCTCTGCAGACTTGTGGTGGCTCGGCTCTCAGCCGCTGAGCTTGGGGGTTTACCTGTCACCTGGGTTTACATTGACCCTCCTGGCGCTCGGCCTTGTTCCTGACGGGCGCTGTTACGGCCTGGTTTAGTTATGTCGGCATTAAAAGTTAGTTGGGGGACGGGGTGGGTGTGGCTATAAAAGGTTACAGGAGGGACACTTGTCGTGGTGATGGAACAGTTCTGTATTTTGAGTTTATGGGTATTGGTGTCCTGGTTGTGATACTGTACTGTAGTTTTGCAAGATGTCGCCATTGGGGGAATCTCCCTATTACTTCTTAAAACTGTATACTAATCTACAGTTTCTCTCAATAAATTTAATTTTTTAAAAAGTTCAGCTCGGCGGGACTTACGTGGTTTCTTTGGAAAGGCTACCGGAGGTGATAAAGGAGGAGTTACGCCCCCCCCCACCAGCTTGTTTGTTTTCTGTTCCCCGTTTCAGCAGAGGCCTGTCAATATTCTTGACTCCTTCAAGCCACATGTCCAAGACTTGTTGGTGCCCCTGTCTTATATTTCTGGTTCACCTTTTTGTGCTCCTGACATCTCTGGGTCCAGTGACTCATGGGCAGATCACTGATAACCTTGCCGGCACTCCCAGTCAATTCCTGATATGTCTTGAGGTGGCTCCCAGGGATCCTGCTCTTACTCGGAGCCTCTTTGGGGTTCTTCACCTAGGTCACACCCTGACAGGTCTCCTCCAGGGCTTCTGTGCTCAGTTGTTTGGGCCTGGCTAGTTCCTACTCCTGGACATTTAGATGCAGCCGCACTTCCAGCTACTTCTGATGTTCTCACCTGTCCCAGTTGTGAAAATTTAATTTATGTATCTGTCAGCAACTGGAGCACAGGGTCTCTTTCATGTCCCTTTCCCTAGGACCTGAAAGGACCTGCTGCGAATACACGAAGCTGTCAATTCCAGTGTAGTAAAGGTGCTTGAAAGACTTTGTAGATCCTGCCTGAAGCCATCGATTGAAACACCTTTTTTGCTAGACTTTGTAAATGCCTCTTGTGAATCTAAATGTGATGGCACGGGAGTCCTTTTGTAATGTAATGTGCAATACAGGTAAGTTGCACAGAAGTCTACTGTTGTACAGGTCTTTGGCTTCCTTGCCCCAGTAGACTGTTCCTTCCTTTGTCCTGGGGATGGGAGGCAGTGCCTATCTCTGCAGGCTGTTTCCAGTAATCATCTGTCACCTGGCTTTGGAGGCACTGCCACAGAGAAGCCAGGGTATTTTCTTTTGGCTCTCCTCATTACCTTGGTACTGGCTTCCCCATGATGGCCTGACCTGATGTGAGCCAGTGGGCAGGTGACATTCCTTTGTCTTCTACCCTAGGAAGAGGTAGGTGTTCATGGCTTTCTGCTGTTGTCTCTCTCTGGTTTCTCAGCATTCCTGTTAACCTGTGTAACCACTTTTCCCCATTAAATTCCATTTAATACTTTCTCCTGGTTGGATCCTGACATACAGTGTTCTTTTTCAACATACATTTCAATTGTTATCTCACTTGCAGCACCCTGAGGAGGTAAACTGAGCCAAGCTTGAATTACCAGAAATTGAGTTTATTTGGGAATAGCAGAGGAACTACAGTTTGGGAAGGGCAAACTGTAGCAAGCTACAGGTGACTCCCATTGAGGATTTGTGGGGTGGGGAGCTGTATTTATGACAAGGAGTGCAAAGGTGGGGGAATTCAGCTAGAGTCCAAATGGTAAGTTCATTAGCCTCTGGATAGGGAGAGATTCTTTTTTTTTTTTTTAAAGATTTTAAAAATTTATTTTAGAGCGTGTGTGCACAAGTGGGGGAAGGGGCAGAGGGAGAGAGAATCCCAAGCAGACTCCACGCTGAGCTCGGAGTCTGACGTGTGGCTTGATCGCAGGACCCTGAGATCATGACCTGAGCTGAAACAGATTCAGACACTTCACCAACTGAGCCACCCAGCACCCCAGGGAGAGATTCTTGGTGGATGTTCATTGGTCAGGAGATAAGTTTCCATCTTCTGTACATTGAGGATTTACAGGAAATCAACTTTTCAGTTCTTTAGTTTTCCTGAGGGCACATCCGTTTCATATCCTCTGGTTCTATTTTAGATTGAAATTCTGTCACACTTGTAATAATAGTGATCATCCTGATCACTTAACCACAGGCAAAACCATTAGGATGGCTACTGTCAAACAAAACACAGACAGTAACAAGTGTTGACCGGGAAGTGGAACAATTGTAACCTGCACCGTTGGTAGGAAGATAAGATGGTACAGCTGCTCTGGAAAACAATATGGTGGTTCCTCAAAAAATCAAAAATAAAATTACCATATGGTCCAATAATTCCACTTCTGGGTATATACCCAAAAGAATTGAAAGCAGTCGGGGCACCTGGGTGGCTCAGTCGTTAAGCGTCTGCCTTCTGCTCAGGTCATGATCCCAGGTCCTGGGATCGAGCCCCGCATCGGGCTCCCTGCTTGGCGGGAAGCCTGCTTCTCCCTCTCCCACTCCCTCTGCTATTGTTCCCTCTCGTGCTGTCTCTCTCTCTCTGTCAAATAAATAAATAAAATCTTAAAAAAAAAAGAATTGAAAGCAGTGTCTTGAGATACTTGTACACCCATGTTTTTATAGCAGCATTATTTTTTAAAAAGTTTTTATTTATTGAATCTCTCCACCCAACATGGGGCTCAAACTCACAACCCTGAGATCAAAAGTTGCACGCTCTTCTGACTGAGCCAGCCATGTGCCCCTATAGCAGTATTATTAACAACAGCTGAGAGGTGAGAGCAACCCAACTGTCCATCTACAGATGAATGGGTAAGCAAAATGTGTATACAGACAATGAAATAATATTCAGTGTTAAAAAGGAAAGAAATTCTAACATACTATAACATGGATGATCCTTGACATTGTGCTAGGTGAAATAGGCCCGTCACAAAATGGCAAATAGTGTAGGATTCCACTTATATGATGATGTACTTGGAGTCAAATTGATGGAGATAGAAAGAATGGTGGTCCATAAATGATTTACCTAATCATATATGCAGCTATGAGATGCAAAAGACAGGATTGTTCTGCTCATTGTACAGATGAGGGAAAACTGAAATACCAGGAAGTTAACCTACCTAAGGTCACCCCAAAAGTTGGTAGTAGAGCAAGACTAGAGGTTGTGAGATGGGGTTTTAAATCTCTGTGCTTCCTGTTACATAAGGAGATCTTCCCTGGGATTAGAATTGTGTAAAACCAGAAAATCTGTTCAGAGTTGGTTCCTCTGCTGATAGAAGGACATAATGAAACCATCCCTAGATACTAGCTTCCCTCTAGTTACCGCAGCAAAATTCACTTAAAGAATCTGTAAACCCCATGTCTCCACTTAGCCCTGTTCTTTCCTGAATCCCCTTCATCCCCCTGTGCCAGCAAAATTCGCGACCAGGTCACCAAATACTTCTGTTGCCAAGTGCAGGATAATTTCAGTCCCTACCCACCTTAAACTCCTGCAGAACATGACACAGTTGCACACTCCCTGCCCGAAGCCAAACATCGCTTCCGGGACAGCACACGGTACCAGTGTCGGGGCCCCAGCTCTCTGGGTTTGCCCTACATTGGGGTGCCCCAGGCGTCCCTGCTCTTCTGTGGTGCCCTATGTTACCATCTTAGACCCTTGGGCGGATCCCTCCCACTGTAGTTGATCTCAGTACAATATCCGGTGGATCCCAGCTCCCAGAACCCAGAGGGGAAAGGGGCTGGAGCAAGCCTTTTGTTTTATTATTTTTTTTTAGACAGGTTGGGGAGGAGTAGAGGGAAAGGGAGAGAGGGAATCTTAAGCAGGCTCCATGCCCAGCGTGGAGCCCAATGAGGAGCTTGATCTCACAACCCTGAGATCATGACCTGAGCCAAAATCAAGAGTCGGGTGCCTGACTGAGTCACCCGGGTGCCCTTAGCCTTTTATTTTATTGAGGACTTCCAACTTGACCTAAGGAAGCAGTACCCTACTTATCAAATCTGATCCCTATCCCAACGGAAACTATTTTTCTCCAGAGCCAGGCAGTTCCAGGTGTTAATCCACGCCTCCTCTGAGGTGTTTTCAAAGTGGCATCTCCTTTTCTTCCCTGTCTGTGTTGGCCATCCCTGCTCAGCAAGGTCCTGCTTGACACGGGGCTCAATCCCACGACCCTGAGATCATGACCTGAGCCGAAATCAAGAGTTGGTTGCTCAACCGACTGAGCCACCCAAGCACCCCTAAAAATTAAATGTCAAGTTCCCTATCTGGCATTCTAGGCCTGCCCCTCTAGGCCCCAGCAGTTCTCACCCTGAGCTTTGGGGCTCTCTCTGGGACCACTGGGCCCTAGCAGCTGGGTGACTCTGCTCTTCTGTGGCTTTGCTAATGCAGGGCCTTCCCTTGGGCTGATCTCCTCACACCCACACACATCTGCCCTCCCTTCCCCTCCTCAGTACCCCCTGCCTTGGGGTCACCCCTTCATAGTCCACACAGCACAGTGGTTCCTTGTGGACCGACTGTGATGCTTCCAAGGCCTTGAGTTTCCTTTTTCATTTATTAAAAACAATACCTGACTGGGGGCACCTGGGTGGCTCAGTCGGTTAAGTGTCTGTCTTCGGCTCGGGTCGTGATCCCAGGGTCCTGGGATCGAGCCCCAAGTTGGGCTCCCTGCTCAGAAAAAAACCCAAAATACCTGACTGCTTACATGCTTATGATGGTCTCAAGTCTTATTTCTTCACATCCCTGCTTCATGGCCCCCAACACTCTGTCCGGGTTGTGTTGGATTTTCTGGTGAACTTGCGTTGGTTAGGCACAAGGCTTTGTGACACAGGGGAGTGCA